ATTGCTCACAGAAAGATCCTAACTCTTTCTTGTTTAGGGCTCTTTCTTTGGCAAGCTGCTTCTGGAGTTTATCTTTTTGACAAACTTTGATGCCATTATGGATAATAATAGCGGTAAGTTGACCATAGTCATAACTATCATAGTTAATTTCTCCATTAGGAGAATGACTCCGGAGTTTACTTCTAATAAGGTCTCCGAAAGATTTTGGAAGGCCATCAAGATATTTTTCTTTCCAATAGGCTTAGTTACAATCTTCCCTGGTTAAAACCCTAGACATAAAGGTGTCTTTGTATCATTTAAAGTCTTCTAAGGTTCTACAACGAAGATTGGAAAGAAATTCACCAGACCTTTCTCTCTATAGAGAAGGGTCTCCTAGAAAATGTTGGGAGATGGTATATAACAAGGTATATACTGCATCAGGGAGCTGTTCATTATCGCTGATAATGGTCTTTCCTTTGTCATCAATTTTTACTGCAGAGAGAATGTTTTCTCTATCAGCTTCAGTGAGATAATTATCCCACCAACCTTTGAGTTGACCAGTAAATCTTGCAACTAGAATGTAGACAATAGTGTCTTCAAGCATATTTTGATTAGTGAAATAGCCCATAGCGACAACTGACATGTTTTGGAGTTTGGCAATGATAATCCATCAATATTCCAAATATAAATATCATTAGAATTAAAACTTTGGATAAAATCTTGTTTATCTTCTAATATAAGATCAGGAGCAGTGGCTCTATTATAATAGAGTTTGGAGGAGTTTTTCCAGTTATTTACTGGATTGATGGCTAAAACAGAATCTATTTCAGAGTTTTGTTCTGAATCAGTCTTGGAGATGACATTAACAGTTTTGGCAAGGGATCTAATCCTAGGTTTGGCGCTAGATTCTTCTGAGGCTTGAGGAGTATCTAGGACAATAGTGAGCAAACTAGTGATTTTACTAAGGAGCTCATTCTGGTTGTCATCTATGGCTTTGGCCTTTTCTTTCTGTCTAAGCTCAAAGATTTTCTGTTTGGCTTTGGCACTAATCTTAAATGGCTTGAACAGAGGTTTTTCTAATTGAAGTTGGGAAGAAGAGGAAGTTATATCCTCTACTTTAGGTTTAACAGGATTAACAGAGATTTTTTCTCCTAAAACCTGGAGGTATTTGTTGGTATAATTGGCCTGTTCCATAAGGCCTTGAATATCATTAGGAGTGATGATTTTGTCAGGATTTTTGGTCTTGAAAGGAGTAGCAGTAACATGGTTACCGCTTTTAACTTTCAAGTTTAGTAACTGGTATTGAGTTGTAGGTGGCAGTTCACTTTGAACAATTTGTCCATCTTTGATTTGCCAAGATATAACATTAGCAGAAGAAGTACTAATAACATCCTCTTGCCAAGGATAATCAATATTATTATGAATGGTATAAGCATGATACCAATCGAAGAATGGGATGTTTTGCTTGACCTTTTCGAGAAATTGATAGAATTCCTCTGGGATATTGGACCTATTTTTTCCCTTATAATTTTGAAAGAACCACTCTCTTTGAGATTTCCAATCCTCAGAGTAGAAATCTTTCCTAAGGGTCTCTTTATTTATAATGAATTTATGAGATAACATTATAAGACTCATTAAGGGAAGAGTAAGTTGGAGATTGGATACTCTGGTTTTCTTCCTCTTTTTTAGAGGTTTGATAAACATTTCTAGGGATTCTAGAAGAGGTATCTAATCCTTGTAGGTTTATGGATGGATCATGGTTAATAGATCTAGGGATTTCAGATCTAGAAGTTTGAGATCTGTAAGAGAATGACCTCCTAGCAGAAGCAAAACTATTATGACTGCTATAAGCATCTACTCTGAAAGAGAAGGAGTTTCTCCTATCAAAGGTTATTTCAACCTTCCCAGAGTTGTCCTGAGAAATATTTTCAATTTGAGGAGCAGGCCTAGGGACACAAGGCGAAGCTTTATCTAAAACTCATTTTTCAGGAAGGGAAACTTCATCCCACTTGATTATTCTCGGGAGAGACACATTAGCCTTTGTCATATCAGTGATAAACAAAGTAGTCTCACCTTTTTGAAAAATTTACAAATTTTGGAAATTCTCTTACCATAGCCACCAGCTTCTTATGTTCTTTGTTTCTTTTGAATACAACATCGTCGAATTATTCTTACTGCCATTTAACCACACGAGACTTACTGCTACAGCCCTATTCAAAAGAACTAAGAGTTGTTGTACTTCCAGTAAAAGCTTTTCATAAAATAAGGAACTGTACAAAAGCAACATTTCAGAACCATTAGTTCGTGGCGTTGTTACAGACAGGGATGACCATAAATGGTCTCACCCGAAGGGCCTGTCAGTTGTCCAACCTATAAACCATGGTTGCAGAAATTTAAAGGAAATTTAAAGTCCAGATCCAGAAGAACATAGTTATAGATAATCAACAATTATATTCCTACTTCCCCATTAGGCTTTGATACCAGATAACCCGAAGTGGATCAAGTAAAAAGAATCTGTTGAATATATATATATATATATATATATATATATATATATAGAGAGAGAGAGAGAGAGAACATAGAGAGGTTAGGGTCAATAGATTGATTAGCGCATTAGGTTAGTAAAGAGTTGCCAACATTGAGGAGTATACATTCAAAGAGCCAATACTGGAGTTTCTTTCTTCAGTGAAGGCAACAAAGGTCTCATAACAGACAACCTAAATCACGGTTATCTACTAGCTAGGTAGCTGCATTATCTGATAATCATTAACAGCATTCAATGTCACCATGAGGTTTGAGACAAAAGATAAGATTGTAAGTACAAGAGAAAAATTTTCATATTCCATCCTAAAAGAATAGATGTCATTCTAATACAAATTTGAGTTAGAATTCAAAATGATAATTCACATAAAACACTTTGCCCGATTCTAATATAGGAAATGTATTAAACTTGCAATATATAGGAAAATTACTTTTGTAAGTCATTAAATTTCTTTCAGAATTTAATATTAAAAAATAACTTTATATTTTCTAAAAAAACATTTTGAATGTCATTTTAGTTTTCAAAAATCATTTAATATCTTTTAAAAATCAAATTCTAATAGTTATTTACAAATCACTGACAAAATATTGAAGTTGTTAAAATTCTACCAACAAAGTAGTATCTCTCACATCTGTCCGGAGTATCATATTTTCTCTCATAATTTTATTTTATTATACTTAAAATATCAGTAATTTTAAAGAAGTAATTATGTTTTCAGATAGACATTGAAGGACAAAGGTGAAAATGACCCCTAGAATCAATTGATATCCTGATTTTCAACTTTTTTGACTTTGATTAAGACTAAACTTGACAAAGCATTGAAAATAGAAAACTTGTTTAACAAAATATTTCTCTATTTGATAAAAATAACTAAAATAGGTAATCACTAATATAATGTTATTTTAATTATAAAATTTCACTTTAATTTCTTACATAACATCATTTAAATTAATTTTTTAAATTTTATATTTTATATTTTAATCTCTAAAATTAACAATCGTTAATTATATTAGTCTTTATTGTTAAAAAATATTAAAAGTGAGTAACAAAGTAATGATATATCACATTAAGTAACATGTGTTAGTTCATTATGAATACAAAATAACCTTATTTTATAATCTTTCAAAAATAATTTATTTTAGTCTATGACTTATAACATTTTTTGTCAATAAAGTCTCTTCTTCGTCTTCTGCTTTACCCTTCTTGCACGATGTCTTTTTTATTCGTTTGGCCACTCTTGTAATGGCATTCATGTTACAAAATTCCTTTGTCTCGAGTTTTGTCATTTGAATCATCAAATTCAAGCCTCGCTAAGAGATTTTACTGAATGTTTGGGACGAATTAAATGAGAAAGGAAGCACAATATGAAATAATTTTATTAAAGGTAAAGAATGATTTTTCATAATTGGAAGGGGAGCTTTAAAGGGGTTGAGGAGGCAACGAAATCTCTAAAATGTGGGATGTGGAGTAGGCAAAAGATTGAATTTGAAGGTGAGAACATGGAGAGAAAGAGAGAGAGAAAGAGTTGAGAGAGGATGTTTGGATTAACGAGAACTTAAACTTGTTAGGTTCTATTTGAAAAAGAAAAAAAATGAGATCTTGAGTTGAACGAAAGAGAAGTCTCTAAAAAATAAGGAAAAGTAATGTTAGTACAGTAAAAAAAAAAGGTGAAACAAATATTATAGAAGATGTTATGAAAAAAAGTAAAACAAAAACTTTATTATCTAAAAATATTAAAAGTCAAAGATAAAAATGATTTATTTTTAAAAAATTATAAAATAACGTTTTTTTTTACCATAGTCACATATTACTTAACGTTTGTTACCTAAATCATCTCTTAACAATAAGTACTAATATGATTAATAATTATTAATTTAAAAATTTAAAAATTAACTTTAATTAAGTTAAATATTTTAATAACTGAGTGAAAATTCACTCACTTTTTTAAACTATACTTTTTTTAAACATTACTTTTTAACTAATAACTATTTTTAATTTTGTCCCTATTGCTTTTTGAAAATTTCTCTTTTTAACCTTTTTAATTGCTAACACCAACCTTTATTTTTTTTTGCTATTCTTTTATATTCAACTTTTTAAACCACTTTTATCATTAAGTTTTATTAAAATATGACTAAATTATTCAATATTATTTTTTACAATAAAAGTTATCAAAATAATAATATAAATTCATTCATATTAAATTTTTAAATTTTAGACTAAAATTAATTGTCCTATTTATCATTTTATATTCATCAGCTAGTTGAATAATTAAATTTACCAAACACTTCCAATTCAATCAGCTAAATTTTCCAAACTAGGACTAAATCTAAACCGGGAAGGAAACATTTGAATCAAGTGCTGCTGATCCTAGCCAACAGAAATGTATATCATAAGTCAACCATGTAGCATGTCACTTCCACAAATGCACCTTCTAACTCCAAATTTCTAAGCGATTTTCAAATTTATTGCTGTGAACTGTACAAAATTTATGTACTTCAGAATTATTCAACTTTGAATATACATTGAAGGAAGTAATATACAGGATTCCTGTACATACAATATGTACATGTTATATCTTCAACTATGAAAATCATCAGAAAATAGAAAGTGAGAAAGTAAGTAACTAAGGGACCAAAAGAACGGGTAATACATTGAAACTGTTACAGGTAATCGTATCGAGTTTGCTGAAAATGCCGCGTTGATGTTAGGATTGTCAAAGTTGTTTTGCAATACAGAGTGCAGTCTCTCAAAATACTTGACATAATCAAATGTTCTTCTTTTCTTCTTCCTGCAAAAATTGAAGTCAATAAATAAGCTTTAAGGATTCACAAATGCATTCAATGATAGCATATTTCCATATAAAGCAGCATAAAAAGTACCAAAGAATAACATCAAAGACTGCACAAAATTGGAAAAACCAACATTTGCACAATCGGCATTTTGAAAGTCAAAAAAGAAAGATCTTACTTTAATTTCTGTAACCAACCAAATACAAGTAACATAGAGCAATGCTAAGACTTGAGGAGAAGCAACTACATTTCCCAGAAGCAAAATATTATAGATTTGTTCTATGCAATTCTAAATAATCCCATTTTAAAATCATTCAGTTAGTTTTTCTTCCTCTTAGTTATCAGGTGCCTTCTAAAATAAATATCACAACAGCATGGAACAAGAACTTCGAAAAATCACAAAGCTTCTTATCCACAATAAACAGCATTCTACTCTACTCAATTTGAGAGTTCTCACCACATCCAGAGGAAGACAAGTTTTGCTACTGCCTCGTGAATCTGCTTGCTGTGATCTTTGGCACTTTCGATATAATCTTTGGATAAACTCTTGTAGATGATTGTAGATGCTGCATATGATCATGCCAAGGCAAGGTTAGTGACAGATATTACTTGCTCGATTGGAACAGTGCAGAATGGCTGGTGTTCATAATAATTAGATGCATTTGAAGCAAAATTGTCAAAGAGTCAACCCAACATCTTAGCAGTATAATTTTATGATTCAAACAAAATAAGGAGCATCCTCCCAAGAAAAAGTGAAATTGCAATCCACCTATCCAAGACAATAGTAGTGTTTAGAAAAGCTCATACAAACTATCATAAATGCTGAATTTCAGCATATCATAGCAACTATATAATTACTATAGAACATATCTGCCAAAGTAGAAGATATTCATTGTAGTATTGCACCAACAACCAATAGAAAGGAAACTCAGGAAGTGGGTCTGCAAGGATTAATTAAGACTTGACATTTTGTGACAAGCAGCATACTAGGGACTATATTCATCATGTCCCACATTGGAAAAGTTGCAACAGAAAGAGGTAGATTTATAAATGCAAGGGGACCTAAGGTTAGGACCAAGTCTGCTTGCTATAAAAAGACAAGTTGAGCTTTAGGGAGGTGTTACCCAATCTTCAAAAATTTGTTAAGTACTTACAATGAAGCCAATTTTTAATATCTTAACCAGTTTGGAGGACAAGATAAGAGAATAGGATAGGATAACTTTTTCTATCCTATTTACTTTCAATCTTTATTTAACCAACATGATATGATAAGATAGATCCTGTGGAGGGAGTTTGGGTTAGAAATATATAGGATAAGATAACATAATATATTAAGTTTATTATTTTAGTATGCATCAAATACAAGATAAAATTCTATCATACTCTTATCTTGTTATATTCTTATCCAACTCTCATTATATCTTATCCTTTTTCTATTAAGTCCTGTCTACCAAACAACCCTTCAAGTGTTTTCTAATTACTTAAATTTACAAAAACACTTGTTTGATTATCTTTTTAAATCAAAACTAGTTAAAAGAACTGTTATATTTGAATAAAATGTTTCCTTATTATCCTTGCATTTTCTCTATTTATCTGAAATTTAAAAAAGATGATAAACTAAGTTTAACGAAAACTTTGTCATTTGATTTCAGCAACAAATACGGAAAGGGAGAGAAATTCCAAAACCACACCAGAAGTCCCACAAGGAAGAGAAAGGGTGTCCCCCAGAGGATGGGTCTCATTGAAAAACATCGAATTGCTATAAAACCAACTTACCAGCTATCCTCTATAATACAGATATTAAACTATACTAAAATTAACAACAGCCAGTGCAATTGCCAAGAAATTCCACTACAGATATTAAATTATCACAGCCAACATTTAGTTGAAATGATATCATTTCATTCTCTTACAGCTAAAAACAGAATATAAGCATACCTTAGTCGATGCCTATTGCAAGCTGTGAAAAAGGCAACAAACCCATACAATATGCTCTTGAGAGCACGGAAAATCTGGAAAAGGAAAAAGAAATCAACCGATCAGGATAGTCCTTAATGAAACCACCTACATCAGAAAAACCATTGATATACCCATCTTACAACCTGGGAAAAAAGGTCATTCCAAAGAGAGCGCAACATGGAAACTTCAGAGGCACTGACTGTTGCCTCAGAATATGATGCCAACTGGAAAATGCCACTAACAAATTGCCACGTGTTGCCAAGTGTATTAAAAATGCATGAATATACAAAAGCCACAAAACTGGATATTGCCAGGACAAGACGAACAGGAGCATATAGTAATTCCCAGAGAATCCAAAACAAAGGATATAAGACACAAGTAGCTGCAGTACATTAAAAAAAATGCAGACAATTAGTAAAAGAACTTGAATATTAGATGATAATTTATGTTGGCAAAGACAGATAAATTTAACAAATAACAGACAGTACAAGAAGGCCAAAACACATGATGACCTACCAATGCTTGAAACAACACTGAGGACAAACCACAATGGTAAAAACATCAGCTCCAATACATCTCCTACTAGATTGAAAGAAGTATCAACCGCGATCCAAATGACAGAAAAGATGCTTTCTGCTATTTCAAACAAAAACTTCAGGCTTGGGAGAAGAAACCCAAAAATCTCCACCAATGACTTTGCAAGAGGTCGAACAAGAACTGAAAAAAAGGATCGCATGGAATGTGAAATGGCAAGGAACCACCTAAGAGCCTTCTGGAAGTTATGTAGAAACAGCATTGTCCCCAAGTATTTGATCCTTGAGACCATCTCCCAATTTTCAATCCAATCAAAAAGTGGCCCACATATACGAGATGCAGTTGCCTTAAGAAGTGGAACATTTTTGTATAAATCGTAGAATCCAATGAGGACAGTGACAAATGAGATCAAAACATATAGAAGTCTTGCAAGTGGACACATCCAAGGACGATAAAGATTGCACAATACTGGATATGACTGAAGGAAGATGACCCAAGAAGGAAGACCAGCCTCCAATAATGTAAGCAATCTCAGATCAGACATTATAACTTCCTTTAGTTTAAATGGGAGGTCATGATCATCAAACCTGAACAACAGAAGAACATCGCTATATTGCACGCTTTCCACTCTATCATCAGAGACACAAGTAGAGCTCTGAGAATAATCCAATGAGTTATCAATTTCAGTTGCCGAGTAACCATCAACTTCAACTTCAGCACTCATGGAATTCATTAATTTGCGTCGCTTATTAGGTCCAGAAGGAGGTGTGTGTAGGATATCTGTTCTCTCTTCTGTATTATCAGAATAGACTTCTACATTGGTACCCAAACTATCTTCAACAGCTGGAATTCCACTGCAGACATTATCATCATCATCAATGGATACAGTCCCAGAAAAATCTTCACTAGCATCATAAAATATTTCCCCTGTTAAAATTGCAGACAGAGAAGCAATGTTCATTGAAAATTTATGTTGGTTCAGAATTTCAAGAATTACTGCAGCCTACTGTTCCCACCATGAACGATACAATAAACTATCAATCAGACTATGTTGGGAAATCTGAGAGACATAATGCAATGGTTTATAATAGAACGAAAAGGGTGGAACAGGAACGGAAAGGGTTACAAGTTTAAAAAACAGCAAAGCGCATGTTACTCTCATTGTACACATAGGAGAGGATATAATACTGTTTAAAAGCCTTTAAATACAAAGATAACTTGGGCACAATTCCTTAAGTACTTTTGGTACTGTTTTCCAATCAAAATTAGGATTTCACCTCAATAACCCATACAATAAGGTTGACATTTAAGGCTGCCGCAAGTTATTGAGGTGAAATACTAATTTTGATTGGAAAATAGAATGAAAGTACCTAAGAAACTGCACCTAAATTTTGTCCTAAATACAAATCTCTCTATTGCATTCCCCCACTCCCCTCCCCCCCCAAAATGGTTTGAGAGGGGATTAAGTGGGGATGAGGACCTTCCTTTCCCTTTGTTTTCTACTCTTCATAACACTCCAAACATGGTAATATCTCTGCCTATGCAAAGGGTCTTACTATCAATATAAACTCCTTGTTAAGTAAATTATATATAGCAATTTCTCTATCCGATATGTGAGTGCCTGTGTATAGAGATGCATGCATCTCTTCATACTTGTGTATTCCTAATCTTGCATTAAAACAAAATGCTACAGTACAGACATCATGGCTATCCTAAATTCAAATGTAATATGCTCACTAAGCATGAAAGCAATGATGAGATTCCCTACTACCACCTGAGACAGAATCCAGGTGCTCTTTCAAGAGCTGCTGTTCAGAAGGTGTTCCTGAAAACCATGAAGACATACAGCTTGCAGCTTGAGCTATGCTGTCAAATTCCCATCTTTTCATCAGTTTAGCTTCTATAGCCAGTGATGTATCAGTCTGCAAAACAAATGAAATAACTCAATAAATGATGGTGAAGACAGTAAACTGAGAAAATAAAAAGAAGCAAACAGATCCAGTACCTGAAGCTCATTATAGTAGTTGATACCACGAACATTTTTCCACACAACTTCAAATACAATAAAGCCATACAGAGTTCTATGCAATTCGCTGCCAAATTGTAAGGAATTCCTTAGATTTTTCACAGGCAGTAAAACTCTCTTCCTTGATAACATGACTGCATCAAGAAATGAGAACCATCTTTTAAATTTCTTTGGTTTATTTGTGCTTGATTGAGAACAAACTTCCGTGCCTTCCTTTCTCTCTCTTCGAGCTTTGGAATATACAAAGGGTGATAACCTTGACTGCAACTAAATAAAAAATGATATAGCTTTTTATTTTAAGAGAGTTGCAAATCACTTCAAATAATTAAGTGTGTTAAACAACCTTGGTAATCATCAATTGCCAAATGTGTGCTCCCCGTGACACAAGGTCAGTTAGCCATGGTCTATTGTCAACCAATATATACATTTTTTTACTATCATTTGCGAGGAAAAGGCTAAGATCTGCAAAGTAAGATTGCAAGTCTCTGCAAAATTCATCACAAAGATGAATTGGATCAGCTTGAGAAATACCAAAACACAAATATAACTTGCTAACCACTCTAAATACAGTAGATAATAACCAGCTGGGACGAAAACTCATTTGGTTAGTCAAAGAAATTTTTCAAAAAAGTTAATGAAAGCAATAACAGTTACTCTCCCAAATTTCCAATAGTCTTCCTCCACACACACCTCTTACAAGATGACAATCTACAAACAGGTAGAACAGAAAACTAAATAAAGGCCAAAGCAACCAATGTCACTGCTCCATTGCCTCTTGAGAAATCAGAAAGTACCCCTAATTCTTTGGTCAACCAGAAACCATACAACACCGTTCAATTCAAAACTTTTCAACTGATTTTAATCAATGCAGATCAATAAACAAGATAATTCAGAACATTACAAGAAAATTAACATACATAAATTAACATTAATACATTTGCGGATTATACAATCAATTTAAAAATAAATAGAAAAAAAAACGCATAACCCTGCACCAAGCTCATGATCATAAATGAACCAATAAACTAAAATAATTTTAACTTGACAATACAAAAATTTTCACATCTCAAGTTGTTCTAAAAATAATAATTAATTAAAAAGGAAATCAAAGAATAAAAATGCACGATCAAATAAAATCCAGCCCTTTCAACAAGAAAGGAAACAAATAAATAAATTCAGTCGACCATTAATTTCACAACAGCTCCCATTAACCATGTGATAGAAAACTCAATAAACCATTACCACACACAATTAAATAGAATGATAAAAAAGAAAAAGGAAAAGAAAACGTACCCAATTTGCAAACTCGTAAGAGGAAAAATGCAGCGTCCATCTTCACCTTTCCCCATCAAGAAAACCAACACCCTCAAACCCCTTGTAATCACTAGCACCTGCTCCAATTTCCCAAACCCAAAAGGAAAAAAAAAAAAAAAACATTATTCTCTACATGCATTCACACAATTCCACTTAAGAAAAAAATGGCGCAGAAAGAAAGAGGACCTGAGAAATGGGTGTTCCATAAAAACGGAGAAGAACGAAAGAGAATGAAGCAAGGAGCGAGTAACTTCATAACAAAGAATACAAAAGAGAATAAGAAAACACAAAGAACCCAAAGGGAGAGTTAAAGCGAGGGATAAGAGCGCATAAATGCGGGTTATAGAGAGAGAGAGTCTTGAACCCAAATTTGTGTTGGCGATGACGCCAATTTCAACTTGTTTCAGAGTAGAGAGAGAAAGAAAGGAGAAGCAGAGAGAGAAAGTAGTTGAACTCGTCAGGAACCAACACATACATTGTTTTTTTACTTTTTCTTTTTCTTGGGATGTTTTTGTTACAGTGTACGTTGTTAAAACCTTAAAATTAGAAAGTTGAGAAGAGGACGAGAATTTAGTGCTTGTGTTTGGATCAGATGGGTTTTCACAGCGCGCGTGTTATTCGGAGATATTTTGGAGTGATCACAATTAATTCCACTGTAAGCAAAGTTAATGCTAAGAAAAGCGTGAAATGATAATATATATTAAATTTATAAAAATACAATTAATATTTTTTAATGCTTTAATTCAACCAAATTAATATTTTAAAGTAATTTGTTTTAGCTTTAAAATAAAAATTATTTTTCTAACACACTTTTTAATATTTTTTCCCAGATATTTTCGTAAAAACAGCTGGAACATTTATTCTCGTATCTAGCTTTGCATTTCATTTTCAGATTGGCTATTACGAATATAAAAACATCATTTCAACTTTTATAAATGTAATTTTTATTTAAAATAATATATACTTAAGGCGGCGGCAGAAAATAAAATTAAATACATTAATTTTTAAAACTCGTTTTCAAATATCACTCCTTCGTTTAAGTTCTAGATCAAACGTTTCTACAAATGTAATTTTGAAACTTATTTTTAAATTGAATATCACATCAAATCACATTTTATTTCTACTGGGATTAATTATTACTGAGTTTTAAAGCATTATTCTAACCATAAATTGATTTATTTCAAATTACCTTTTATGGAAGTGTTCTTTTGTTTAATATGTTTTTTTAAAGTTAATTACATTAAATTGATTAAAATTTAAAGATTTTTTTTAGCATATATTCAAAAATACATAATGAAATTCCATTTTTAATGTGTTAATAATATTAAATTTAATGCATGGATAAAGCGGTGGTGGAGGGTAAGATGGTAAATTGATTCGTATTCGAGATAGAGAGAGAAGAATTTACTGTAACAGGGACACATAGGAAGCGTGAGCGCGAGGTTATGAAGTGGCAACGTGGCATGGCCATGGGCATTGTGGTGGGTCCCACAAGAATTTATTTTTGAGAAATTATTATCAACGTGGATTCAATTATTAAGAGGAGAATATTACTCACTTACATTATTTTGTTTTTTTCTATTAAATTTTGTGTGAGTTGTCCCTCTGAGTTTGAATCTCATAGAATTAAAATATTTGTGATATGGAATAGCATTAATAATTTATTTACATATTTTGACTGAGGTTGTTATTGAAATAAAAAGAATGTCAAATAAAAATATCATAAAATATTAAAAATTAAATAAATAAAATTTAAAATGAAAATTACAGTATATGTAACGTAACATTAAAAATTATTCGTATTTAACTTTATATTATATCTTTATTTATCAAAATATACTCTTTGTTGAATTTAAAATAAAATCAAATAAATGAGTTAAATTGATTGTCAATAACTAAATTTTATTAGTTTTGGTGTGATTGTCTGTTCATTAAATTTTTAGGGAGAATGGGTTAGACATTTTAAATATATTTAGAAGAGTTTAAATAGATCTCATAAAAATATTCATAATTATTTTAATTTATTTCAATAATTTTTTAGATTTATTTCACAAACTATTATGTAAAAATAATTTACTGAATAAATACTTAATTAAATTAAATTGTTTAATCAAACACATCCTTAATTTGTTTGGTGATATTCATGTTAAGTCAGAAAATTCAGTTCTATTTTTTTTCATTATTAACTTTTTGGAGATAAAATTAAATGTAATTAACTTAAATTAAAGGAAAATATTAACTATACATTTTTTATTATTTTATTTGTTATTAGAAAAAAATTTTAAAAATGAAAACAAAAATACTAGTCTTCTTTGTCAATAATCATGCACGATTCTTTACCCATTTTCATTATTTTGTCTTATATTACAAGGAATATATACATTCTGTTGAAGTGTCAAATGATAAATCTCCTTTTAAATATACCATGAATGATTCGTTTCCTCTCTATGAAGCTGGATTATCAAATGTTCGGTTCTTCTTATATTATGTATATATAGAAAAAAGATATTCTTTATTTAACTTCAAAATGGAAGACTCAGATTAAATGTGAAAATTTTTAAATTTATAAAAAAATTCTTCCCTAATATATATATATACACATAAAAGTATAATATTTTTCTTTCTTTGTTACTTAGCTTTTTTCTCTGTATCAAGTTCAAGTATCATGAATTTATAGCATCACCTATAAAGATTTTTTTTCTTTTATTCCTTCTTGCATCATAATTTAAAATATATTTAGCTTTTATCAAAATATTCTTAGAAAGTGTTTAGTACCTATCAATTTAGAACAACATTTTATACTCGATGATTGTGATTTATTTAATATTTTAAAAATTAAAAATTATTTATTTTTTTAAATATATCATAATTAACTCTCATTACTTATTATACATATTTAATATAAAATAAATTGTGATAATTATTTTACATGTAAAATGTCAAATAATACCCTTTTAATTTAGATAAGACAGGAAAAATTACCTTCCTGAAAATGCTAATTTTTTATGTTTTGTATTTTTTTTTCATGTTCACTTTTTATATTACAATTATATATATTTATATAATTTACGAATTGAAAATAAAAATCACAGAGGAATAACTTTTTTTATTTCCTTTTCTTTATTGACAAGTAGGCATTGCATCCTTCATATGATATTTTGCTTAATTGCACCATTGCAAATACTCTGTCACTGAGCAGTTGTATGTGGCATGAGACAAATACACACTTGCTTAAAGAGTTGTTTACTGTTTATTTACGTATTGATATTTTTAAACATATGTTTATAGTAAATAATAAAATTTATATATTATATTTTTATTAAATAACTGAATGTAATATATTAATCATATTTAATTAATAATTATTATAGTCAAATTTATATTAATAAATAATAAAATGAATAATTTATTTTAAAAATATATAAATATTTTTAAAATTTTAAAATATTAAAAAATTATGATAGTTAATTTAGGAAAAATATGCAATGTTGTCTTAAGTTTCTAGTTACTGAAGGGAATAATTCTATTATCCAAAGCATATGCCATCTTATGAAATCTAGCTGTAGGAGTGTGCGCCTCTCTTCCCGAAGCCGTGTCAACTTATAAAAAAATAAATAAATGCTCATGAGCTTATCCCATTTAATTTCTATTTATCCTTCTATTAATTTAGTTTTTATTTCATTTTATTAATATTTAAATTCAATTTAAATAATACAAGAATATTAAAAAAAATAAAATATCATATATATATACATATAATTATATTTTTAATTAAATATTAAAAATAATTTTATACTTTTATACTTTTATAATTTTAATTATTAATTAAAATTTATAAAAATTATGACTCTTAATTTAATTTTTTTCTTGTATTTTTATAATTTTTAATAAATTTAAATAATAACTAAAAATATATTAAAAAGTGTTTTAAATAATAAGTTATAAATGTTCCTCTAAAAGTTATGTTTAAAAAATATAACATATGACTCAATATTATTATAATTAGTATTTATAATATATTTATTAAGTATGTGAATTTTTAGACAATTAAAATTTAATAAAAAAATTTGCTGCTAAATAAAAATGTTTTTAATAAACTTAATATATAAAATGATATATTTTAAAATTAATTATTTTTGGTAACATTTAAAATAAAATTAACTGTAAAGTATACTATAACATAACAACATTAAAATAAAAATTTATAATATATATATATATATATATATAACTTATAAACTTAAATCATATTTAACTTATAATTATTGAATAATATAAAATTTAACTGAAAAAATTGATATGATAATAATAAATGAGATACATATAAAATAATAAACTTTTTGAAGTAAAACTTTAGAAATAAAATAATATTATGCGTTAAAATAAAATTGGATGTTTATTGAAGTATCAAATAATTTTTACATTTTATAAAATTTTGTATATTTATCAACTTATCAAAAACTCTTAACAAATAATTAGATTAATAAATCATTATCTATAAAATGTTATTAGTAGAGTAAGTTAAATAACTTACTCCTAAATCTAGAAAAAAAAGAAGAAAAAAAACTTACTCCAGAATAAGTGGAGTTCTTTCGAATTTTAATATCATTAAATATAATTAATAAGTAAAGCAATTCATGAAGATTAGTTTACATGTGAATTTAATTAAAAGGAAAAGATGTCATCAATGTTTAATTTCAACTCTAAAAGGCTAAAGTTAATAACATGTGAATTTTATTAAAAGTAAAAAATATTATTATTGTTTCATTTTAATTTTAAAGACTGAGAATAATAAAATGAAAAATAAAATAATTATGTTAACAGAATGATAATTTTTATAATTTTTTATATTTGGTTTAATATTTAAAAAAAATAAGAAAAGAAAGGAATCGAAATTTTAGGCAATGATCAAGAAAAATAGCTATAAACAAAAGATAATTCATATTTCCATCATTATCTATCTTACAATACTTATCTGATTTTATTTTCATATTTGATTGTCATTTGTTGTAACCTAACGTCATTACTTTCTACCTATGAATATCATACATTTTGAATTATAACCAACTTGCAAAACAAAGTGTTAGGATTAACTTGTAAAGAAGAAGAGAAAGAAAGAGTAGAATCATAGAAAATTCTTAAAAATTTCATAAAAACATGCAAATAGTTCTAATCATCACCATTTGAAGTTCCCTCCATATTATCAAGGTAAATCACATAAGAAGGATTATCGTATTCAAGGTAGTCAAATGTCTTCTCAAAATGTTCTGTCACCTCAAAATTTTCACACTTCTTACAATAAGTCAGTCTAGATAGAGATGACCTAATGTATTTACAAGCAGTTCTTATCTTACCAATCAAATAATCTAGTTCTTTCAACTATCATATACAATTAGGTTTAGGATACTGGCACAACACCTCATTTGTATGAATTCTTTATTTAACAAAGTACTACCAATAAAAAGCCTCAAATTTTTACTTAAATATGGTAGATCAACTTAGTACTAACATTGTCAATTGTAATAGTAAAATTTATAATA